GGGAGGAGTGGCTGTGCAGGGACCCAGTAGACACAGAAACATGAAAACGGGCAAAGAGCTAGTTGTGGTTCATGTGGATTGGAATCCATGTCAATTAACTGACAGCTCTGCTGTTAGCACTGCTCAACCGGCCACAGGCAGTGGAGTAGAAATGTCTTGTTCTTCCTGGTGATGATATTTCAAAGGCATGAGTTTCTGTCCTTGAGAAAGATACAATATAATGTAGATGGTGGGTTGAGAACAGAGTGCTTTGGAAAAGGCCCCATGAAATTCACTGGGTTTTTATTTAGAGCCTTGAGTACTGAAAGGAGTTTAGGCCCCAGGCCACGTGAGCTGTGGGGTCTCAGATACCAAAGCCATGAAGGAGTCTCTGGACTTGGGGAAAAGGAAAGCTCTGTCATCACCTTGCCAATACTGGCAGCATGGAGCATAGCCACAGGAAATAATTTCTATCCAGGTTTAGAGGCTCCAGCCCATAATTCCAGGAATCTGGCAGGTTGATACAGTAAGATTCAAGTATATAAGGCCTCCCAGGCCAGCAGAATAAGTTTATGAAATCTGAGTGAGTTGAGTGACACACACCAGCATTTAAAAGGTGGAAACAGAGAGAGAGGTCCAGGCCATCGTTGGCTATTTAAGCAGGCCTATAGCCTTCAAAGGCTACATGAGATTCTAAAAAGTGACAACAAGAACAAACACATTTTAAAAACCACAGAAGCTAGTCGTGGTGGCTGATGCCTTTAGTCACATCACTTGGGAGACAGAGGCAGACAGATCTGTGAGTCCAAGGCCAGCCTGGCCTACAGAGTGAGTTCCAGGACAGCCAGGGATACACAGAGAGAATCAATGCAAGGTATAGGAGAAGTGGTTTTTCCCAGGGCATACCCAATTGGTTATCCAGTTTTCCAGCCCTGAAAAGCACGCATACAAATAACATTATTCAGACTGAGTCAGTTTAATTTAAAATTGGGAGAGACCTTAGATGAAATGCCCTACAGTCGGGGAGAAAGACCTTGTAGGGCCTACCTCCAGTCAAAAGACAGGGCATCAAGTGAGAGATGGAATTGCCAGTCAAAAACAGTCAAAAACTCTGACCCAGATTTTTTTCCTGTCTGAAAGAACTACATGGACAAACATGGAGAAGAGCCTGAGGGAAAGGAGGTCCAGTGACAGGCCCAAATTGAGATCCAGCTCAGGGGGAGGCCCCAAGGCCTGACAATATTACTGATGCTATAGTGTGCTTACAGACAGGGGCCTACCATGACACCCCTCTGGAAAACCCAACAAGCAGCTGAAAGAGATGCAGATATTTACACCCAACCAATGGACAAAAGCTGCTGACCCCTGTGGTTGAATTAGGGAAAAGCCGGAAGAAGCTGAGGAGGAGGGCGACCCTGTAGGAAGACCAGCAGTCTCAACTAACCTAGACTCACAAGATCTCTCAGACACTGGGCCACCAACAAGGTAGCGTATACACCAGCTAATATGAGACCCACAACACATATACAGCAGAGGACTGCCTGGTGTGGACTCAGTCAGAGAAGATGCACCTAACCCTCAAGAGGCTGGAGGCCTCGGGAGTGAGGAAGTCTGGTGGGGTAGGGGATGGGGGAGTAGGTACATCCTCATGGAGGGGGGGAGGGGGAGAAGGTATAGGATGTGAAACAGTCAGAAGGTAGACTAGGAGGGGGATAAAATCTGGAGTGTAAAAAAAAGATTAAAAATAAAACCAAGCCACGAATATTCAACCTGGAAAAATAAAATAAAATTGTAAAGAAATAATTACAGATTGGCATGCAGTTGAAACATATCTGAATTTTATCTTTATCCATTTCCTGGATTTTTAACAATATCTTGCAATACTTGAGAACATTATTCCAACTGGGATGCTGACATTGGTACTGTCCATTACAGAATGGTTTGTGAACACAAATATCCTCCGGCTGTTCTCTTCCAGCTTCCCCCAACATCTTCCAAGCCACCTCTATCCACCGCGTGAGCTCATCACTGACAAAGCACTCATCTCTCCCCATTTGAAGACTGCTTTCGTTTTTGTTTTCACAGTGCTAATGGAGCTTTAGACTTGGCACCATGGAGTATGTGCCCTTTTACAATTGGCACCGTTTCTGATTGAACTCATTCTGGGGAGACTCATGCAAGTTCTTCTGTGTAGCAATGTCCATGCTCTGGCCACCATATACACAAATAAATGTGATTTGGAAAATAAAAATAAATGCAGTCTTTGTGTCCTGGACAGCCCTGGGGTGGAGGAGGCATGATCTCTGGTTTCCTCCCTCTCCCACTTCCTCAACCTCAACTCTTCCACCTTTCCCTCATAGTGAGACTTAGAGTGAACATCTCCAGCCAGTGTCACAGGCACAGGAATACTTGAGTATGTTCTACCCACTGTCCCTAGTGGGACATGCACCTCTGAGGATAGATTAGAACCTATGTTGTCACTGCAAAATCAGCACAGACAGATAAAGGGCAGGGATGGAAAATGACCCGGAGAGGTGACGTTGTGTTGTAATGCATAAGGATCAGAAAAGAGTAGGCTAGGTGGGAAAAGGATAACTGTCACTGGGATATAGGCACAGGAAAAGAGCCAGCAACAGGTGGACAAGTGCCCTATGGGGCGGGGGTGGGGTGGGGTGGGGTGGATGGGATCAGAAAAGTGGGAAGCTTCTAGAACTTCCTTCCTTCCTTCCTTCCTTCCTTCCTTCCTTCCTTCCTTCCTTCCTTCCTTCTGTCTTTCTTTGTTTTTTTTGTTTTTTGTTGTTTGTTTGTTTGTTTGTTTTTCGAGACAGGGTTTCTTTGTATAGCCCTGACTGTCCTGGAAC